AAGGAAATAAAGGGGGCCCCATCAGGTGGAATAATATATATACCTATAAACAGCTGAAGAATCTTTCCGTGGCGGAATATACGAGATTCTGGTGATAAAGGATGAGGAAATCCTGTTTATCTGTCTAGTACACTATGTATATCTGTGCGACGAATATATGAAAACAAAGAATATGGCGAAGCGAATTCAAAATATAACAGCTTCGGTATCCGAAGAGGACGAAGGCGACACTTCACTAAACAGGATAACCATTTAAGAGATGATAAGAAGAAGGTGAAGATGTGAGTTTTCACGTATATACGAATACTCCATTAGATATAACAGAAATAATAAGAAGAATCCGAAAAGGGGGTCACCCTGCAATCTGACACATCTCCATATAATGCAGGGGTTAGCATAATATATATATATATGCTGGTAAGTTGAAACAGGGACCTCAACAAAGAAGGTGGTATTTTACTTGATGGGTTATATCATGATCACTATTGAGACACAAACATACGTGCTCCAGAGACACCATATTTCTAAATGTTCCTATTCCGTGTCAAATTTGATGAATCCCATTTCGCAGAGATATAAGCAGAAAGTTCCTCCTTTTTCCATCCTACTAGGGAAGCCCTCAATTCTATCAGTAACACATACATTAATTATTCTTTCATTGGAGCAATAGATATGGCAACAAAATGGCATAACTTCTATTTACGTTCATAAATGAATGATAGGCGGTTTTGTAATTACAACTTTACGGCAGACTGATCCGATATCTAAAGAGTGGACCTCCTGGCCTTCCAGAAGGCTGTGGTACTTATATCTGCTTGTTCTTCTTCGTTTTCTACTTTTAACTTATGATTTTCTCTCTAAGGATATTTTATCAGTGTGTGATTTCTATTGCGGTGTCTTCAGTGGGTTGTGCCTTTTTCCGTACAGAAGCGTCCTCAGGAGAGTGAGCATTTTCTAAAGATTCCATGTTTTTGTTTGTCTAATAAAACAGTACACCCTAATTTAGTAGATGCAGAGAAATACGCAATCACATATGCCATATTTATCAGTAAATAAAACAGATGGAGAATAATGTTTTTCGACTTGTTCCGTATGTGTCTAGGCTGTTATGTATAACGAGTATTTAAGAGGACAAAGAAATGGACTATTCTCAGGAGCATTCTGGCAGGATTATTACATATAGAAAATTCAACATTCTGCATTTGGGCATCTCCTCTACGTTGTATGTTACGGAAAATTTGTCTACCCCGACATTCAACACGAAGGGGGCATAGAAACGTAGATGAAATATTTCGCGGCCTCCAGATATGTTCCCCTGATGCTGAGTCACAACTGGTGAGCTCCCTTTCACATCTGTCTCGCATTGCAATTGTGCCTAGCAGTGCGATTGATTATCCTCGTAATCTGTTAACTAATTCACGTACTTGAGGTCCCTGTCTCTAGAAGTACGTGTCCCCTTGGTTTTCCGGGTAGGAGTTCCTCGCATCTCTTTGTAATCTGTACTTATCAAAGTTCTCTCAGGTCATCTCACTTTATGGCATTCGTATGGACACCATTCCAATGTAACATGTAAGTATGCGTGTCATACTTTGCCTCTGAACATGCTCTACTCCAACTACCTCATTATCATCATGGTGAGCGCCTCTGTATTATTGTTCGTTTGTCTCCTCTTATATGAGGCATGTAAATCTTTGTGGTTTATACTCAGCGTGTTTTCCTCTTCTTTTTTGACATCCTCAGAAAAATTCTATGTGTATCTGCTATATTTGGGGATGTTTCTATATTTTCCTCGTTCAAACAGTTTCCTGTGTGGCCGTTCATGTACAACCCCACGTCTTGTAAATCCTATTGCTCTTTGCATTCATCCAGAAGCATCATGAAGGGCGATATGGACATTTCCATGTCTACTTCTTCATCTGTAATTAAACACAATTCGTGGTTATGCACCTCCTCTCTCTCTTTATGGCAATTTGTTCTTGACGTGTTATTCCTCGTCTCATGTATTACATACTTGGTTGTGTCCTTATCGTAGAGCCTCATAAGTTTGTCGAAGGAACTATCTGTAATGTACTGTATCATATGTATGTG